ACTGTGCAAACTGACACACGTCATCAAGCGTTGTGAGGACGGTCGAAGGCAATTGCCGTGCTTGCTCTACATATTCAGGATGAAGAAAAAATCCCAAGATAAACAATGGCTGCTCACAAGCATTCCAGCGGGTTTCAACAAGGTTAACTAGTGAGTCGCTGAGCTCGGTAGAGGCAAAGCCTCGATAAATCTCCATGTAGGAAGTAACAACATCAGCTACGGTGTTTTCATTTCTCTGCAAACGAAATGAAGCGGTGCATAATGGCCGAACGATCTTCTCGGCCGTCTCCAGTTTAGTCCAGAACTCATTTTCTCCTAAGACACGAAGCTTTTCTGGCATTTCATTGCTGTTTCGATACGAGAAGACCATATCTTCCAGAGCTCCTCGTGCACGAAGGAGAGAGGCAAAACATGCCTGCATGGAGTTCCACCGAGTCTCACAAAGCGTAAAATAGCAAGACTAGCTCCGTAGCGCTTATGCATAGCTTTCATCGCACGAACTAACCACTTTGAAGTTGAAGTATTAAGAAAACTAGCCACACCTGCGGCGTCTGCTGAAATCTGCTGGAAAACTGTTTTGAGGACAGCTTTGACGAGATTGTTGATGTCATGAGCAAAACAATGGATGTAAGCAAACTTCGGATAGCGAAGAGCCAAAATACGACGAGCTCGTCCACATTGACCTGCATTATCGGTAACAACAGCACCCACATTCCAGCCCGACGCAAGCAGCTCCTCGATAACCTCTTCCATTTGCTCCGCAATCGCAAGGCCGCCATGGCGATCACCAGTCGGTCGTAAACCATAGTTCATTACACAGCCAAATAGGGTAACCATGCAGCCCAGTACATGCTGCTTCGCTATCGTTTCCCACACATCTGAAATAAAGTTTACTCTCCCACCACTTTGGACGGCTCTAACGTTTTCCCGTTGCTCAGTTGAATGTTGCTCTGCACACTCGTCCAGAACACGACCATGAATGATATGGCGATGTGGCACGGCGCCTGGAAGCCCGCAACGAGCATTCAAAAAGACGAGCAGGCGTCGGAAGGAACGAAGCTGCACGAAAGAGTCTGGAAGCAGTGCTTCCGCCTGAAATCCCAATAAAAGACGCCAAAACAGCATAATTTCAATAGGTGTGAATGCCGGGGGTGAAGTACGTTGGTGCTTGTAGGCGCGTGCATGTTCATCCGTTTCAGCTTGATTTTCATCACTTTGAGCCGGCTTCCTTGTAACGCGAGCGTAGTACAAGCACCCGTCCAAGTGCTTCTCCCAACTTTCCTTTCGCCCACGGATGTGGGTAGGAAAAGGAATGGTTGTTTTAGCACTTACATGGGCGGCGTAACAATACTTGCACACAGTCCACCACATCGATTTATTGCATTTCTCCTTGAGCCGGTAAAAGTTCATGCCAAGAGGACCTGGTGGGCGTCCACGTTTGGACTCGTCATCTTGCAGCCCGGGTAGGAGCTCCATGAGGGTGGAAGTAGATCGGCGGCGGCGGTGTGAATGCGTACGGTGGGGATTCTTTTGTTGTGAATCAAGCTCGGGGCAGTCCCGGTCGGTTGAAATAGGCTTAGCTCTTTTTTACGTCAACAATGCAAGATCCCTCTGTAAAAATGTTTTAATTTAGCGCATAAAACACTTTTAACGTAAAAATGTAAATGTAAAAATGCCAACACTGGTAGTGACGCTGGAGACGGGCGAGATCAGGACGATGACGGGACGCACGTCTTTAAACCTGATCCTGGGCGGCTTCACCTTTAGCAGCAGGGGCAGAAGTGCGTCGGCGGTAAGCGGTACGGACGGCAGCCCAGGAGCGGGACGGAGCACTGAAGTAGGACGAGGCGGAGACGACGCTCCACGAGATGGCGAAGACGGAGTGGTCGCGAGCGCAAACGAGAACCAAGACGTTGACGTAGGTATCGCGGTGTAGCTGACGGGAACTGGGAACGGCGGTGGCAAAGACGGTGGTGGTCCCGGTCGTGCTCTACCAGTCGCTCTAGTGGCATCGGCGCTAGAGGGGTACTCCCCGGGAGAGAGAGACTATCCGATACGACAGGTGACTGTGCGCGAGAAAGCGAAGGCGTTCAAGCTTGCGAAGTCAAAATGGCTGGATGATACGATGCCGGTCACGATGTAGCTCAAGACGGTGAAGGCCGAAGTCCGTTGGCAGGCGGTGACAGTGGGCACGAAGTGGAGAGACGACCAGCTCTACCACGAGGTTGCATCGCACTTGGACGGCGAGTCGAAGCGCTGGTTTGCGACGGTGATCAAATCAGTATCGCCTGAAGAAGAAAACATCGACCCATATGCCGAGCTGCTGCGCGCAATGTACATGACGCAACACACGGATCCGGAGGTGGTTGTCCGCCAGGAGGCAGATGAAGGGCGAGGGGTTGGTTGAATACGCACAGGCGCCGCGCGAGATCCGACGTGGGCAAAGAGTGGTTCGTCAGCGCGTTCCTGAAGGACATGATCAGCTTGGAGGGGGAGACGCACGTGCGACGGCACAGGCTCGGCCGCTGGGCGAAGCAGTTAGTCTGGCGACCCCACACGTGGGCGATTACGGCGAAGGCTACGGCGTGGGGTCGAGACGGCGATGGTGCGCTGGGACGAGCGTGAGGCGCGGCAAGGGCGGGGCCCTTGACAGCGTTGGCCGGGAGCGGTGAGCAGGAGCAATCGGGACTTGACAGCGAATCGCAGAGTGTAGTGGTTCAAACGGCCTTCTATTTGGGTATGTTTTTATCCTATAGAAGCCTCACTATGATACGCTATTAAACGGTTCTCAATGGAGTCCGTCTTTCTGTATGGCTGAGGGTTTGCCTTTTGTTGAATTTGTTCCTCCGTCCGCTGAAGATACTCTTCGAATGCGCTTCGGTGGGTCATCCTGTTTGTATTGTCGAATATATATGTTGCATTTTGGTCCATTGCAGCCAGTTTCTTGGCTGCTGTGAATGCCGCTAGCTTCGGTTTTCTCCACTGTATCCTGAAGAATGAGGCTAGTGCACTGAGATTACGGCAGTCGTTGTAGTCGGCCTTATCTTCTGAGTCTTTTCTGAGCATGCTGGAGGCTCGTGAATTGATGGTATCAATCAATAGGATAATTCTCTGAGGCTCATCTTGACGACAAATGGCTTGTCCTGCTTGTTCGAGGACGAGTAGATCAAATTTTGAGCGGGATTGCTGATGGTTAAATGTGTTGCTACCAGCTACATGGAGCTTCCACACGTCTTCTCTTTCTAAATGGTATACTAGCCATCCTCCTTGGGACTCTTTTCCGGGAGGATTTCTCGCGTAGTAACGGATTAACCAGGTTTCCAGATGTTCCATATCCATTTCAGGGTGAACAGATATCATGATTCTATGGCATAGTTCCAGACACACACCCAATATCCGCTTTGATGGTTGCGTCTTCCATGAGCTAGCTTTCGCCATGACTTGGTACGTGCCAGCTCCCCAGACTATGGAGGCTGTGCGCTTTTTGATGTGTGTATTTCGTTGAAAATATGACGATTTCGTAGTCTCCATAGTATGACTGGGGTTGTTGTTGTCCATATTAGCCATAATATCTCCATTGCTTTGTCGTGACATGTTGTCCATCGCGTTATGCATTGCTGAGCTACGGACAGGAATTCTGCTGTCGCTGTTGGTGACCTCCTTGACGCAACGTGTTCCAGTAATGCCTTTCTTTTCGTCAAGGTAGTCGGAACTCCGAGCCATTGATCAAGCCATCTTTGCCAAGCATGTTGCGCTTTATCGCAGCTCCATACTATGTGGTCTATCGTTTCAGTGGTGCAAGGGCATGTAGGTTTAGGACATTCACGGTGGTCAGGCCATTTATCGTGGCGCAAGTTGAGAGCTCCAAGAGCGATACGATACATTGTCCAGTTTTGGAAGTCTGTAAAAATACCTTGGGTGGACCACAGCTGGTAAACAGTTTGTTGAAGCGCTGCACTTTGCCAGGCCGATGCACTTTTTTTCCTTTTTATTTTTTCGAGAGTAGGTTGAAGGCTGTATCGAAGTTGTGTTTTTAATACCTTGGTTCGCTGTTTACGGATCGTGATTCCCAAGTTGGCTGATTTCGTGAGTTCTGGTGCTGACCAAGGATAGAGAGCGGTCTGCGGTGCTTGTTTAAAAGCGATACCTTCTCGATTTTTCCAAGCCACTAATTCCTCATAGTCGTAAGGTTTTTGGTACGATGCTGACGCTTTCACAATGCTCCAGGTCCACCCGTCTTGGTTTCGTTGCAGTTGTATGTCCAGATTGCTGCTCTCTCCGCTCTTTACTTTAGCTGTTATAGTGTCATCAGCTTCCCCATAGGTCCATTCTAAATCATGTTGCATATGTGGGAGATTTCTTGGTTGTAGTGTTTGGGGCTTCACTGTCCAGATTTTCCAAGGTAGGCTGAGCATGACACATGAGCACCATCTCACTATTTGGCGTGAATGTCTCTGTGTGTATGGCTGTTTATGCAGTGGTGGTTGTAACACGACGGCCTTGTCGCTCTGCATTGGACTCAAATTCTCGATAGTAAAGACTATATCTCTGATTCGTCCTGGTCGCAAAGATGGAAAGTTCTGTAAGCGGAGAGGGTGGCCGTTTTTGTCAGTCACATTTGCATTATCATGCCACGGTGATTCAAGAAGGAAGTTCGCGTTTTCATCTGGAATGTCGCAGTCGTTTGTCATCGCTGTTATAAATCGTAATTGTGTGCCTGATATCCAGTAACAGGATCGTGTTGCCGGAGCTGATATAATCATTTGTTGTATTTTCTTAAGTTGATCGTTCTTGGGTATCATTTTGATTGACTGCGAGTTCCATAATTCCAGTTTACCTAGAAGCTGAACAGAAATTTGTGGCTGACCACGGGATTCCTTAGCACATAATGACAACATACTTGCTGATGTTGGGCGGAACTGGCAACATAATTGTGATGGTTCTTCGCCTGGGTGGGCCATAGCATGGAATCGCAGAGTGTGGTGACCGGCTACGGATCAATGTGGTGTGCACCACAGAAGCGTCCCCGGTACGATACCGAGGGTAGGCAAGTATCGGCCGGTGGAACCAGTGCGGCCGAGTGGTGAAAAGCGATTCCGCCAGGATTTCAACTGGTACCTACCAGTAAAGCAGGCGATACGAGCGACTGTACGAAATTTCGGTCAGCAGTGAATAAAGTGGAACGCGTGGACGGAAACCCGGTTGAGATGTACACTACCTGCGTCCGGCGAAGACGTTGAAAGTAGGGGCCAAGTATGGTGGCGGGAAAACGCTACGGCGGCGGCTAATCCGGCGTTTGCGACGAGACCGGCACCACTCCAGAATATAGAGCGGTACCATGCGCGACAGACTCGAACGCAGCGTGCACCGTTCGTGCCTCGCCCAGGGACGAAGTGCTTCTTTTACGGTCGAGAGGGGTATTTTGCGCGTGCTTGTCGGTTGAAGCAGGCGGGTCTGTCGGCTGGACATCTCAGTGCAGGGCAAGACGAGAGCGAAGGACCGGGAGCAGGAAACGCTATGCGGGCGTAAGGGCCCTGGCCTTACTTCTCGCAAGGCCTGGCTTAAGAAGAAGACAGGACGGTTCAAGGCGGCACACGCAGCCTGTGAGAAGCCGATGGAGAGCACCCGCGTGCAGAGGCGGCGTGTGGTGGTGTGTGAGGACTACAGCAGATCTCCATGTTTCTCAGGATGTTTCAGTACGGGTGAGAGCTCGCGTTTAGCGATGACAACCCTCGAGCAGGCTTCTCCTTCAGGTTTTTATTTACCGCACTACCTTTTACGTAACTTACGTTTAAAAATAATAAAAAAAAAAATTTTGGGCTCGGGTGGACCTTCCGCAAATACCGGTCAAACCCGATATTGCATTGCTACATTTAGCAACGACCATCGGTGAAGCGTTTTGGTGTCCAGGTTGTAGTGGGTTGGACATGTTGTTGCCCTGCTTCTTGGCAATAGGTGGAAGGGAACAAATGGCCTTCTTCCCACGGAATTTTACAAACAGATGCAGGCAGATACTGATTTCTAAATTCCTACTATCCCCATTCAGGACCAAGTACCAATGTACAAACTGCATCGTAAAGCGGGACTAATTTGGAAAGATGAATCACTTGATTCAGCACGTTCCTACTTATAATGGCAGGAAGAATAGAACACGCCCTCTTTAAACTCTTTAAAAAATTAGCAAATAGTCCAAATTGAGAATTCAACATTTCACATTATGCTAATACTCTCACTCTGGTATTGAGCTGCATACTAAGCGAAATTGGTTTTGTTCTGATCGACTCGCCGTTCGCAAAAAGCTGTATGTGCGAGTAAGACCCGTTAAGTTTTCGGTGCTAATTAGACGGGCGTGTACCTAATTAATAGGAAATGTGAGATGACCCACTTTCCACTTCTAGTAACAAATGTTCGTGAGCCCACTCGGTATTCTTGTTATCAGTAAGACTCGTACTGCTCTTGAATCTCTTATTGTGTTACCGCTTTTAACGAAAAGGAACTTTTGCGTATTCCTCTAGCAGCTCTTGTAAGCGATGCGTTAGTTTTGAAATAGTAAGCCTTAGCACGATTTTTTCTTCATCTTTCGACACCTGTTGTAAGGTAATGATGGAATTTACGAAATAAAGAGCATATTAAAACAGTTGTTCTACGAGTCAAGAAGAGTCTTCAGTTAGCAAAGTAGCATAGTCGCTAATTAGGTAGCCATCGTCGCAAAGATCATGTAGTTTTTGCTAGACCGACTCCGATTCTCTATTGACATCCTTGCACATAAGCAGCAAGCTCTTAACCCATCTAAGACGAAGCTTTATTCTATATCATACAGAATAAAAATACTATTGATTAAAATATACCTCGACAACTACAAACATTTCCTTCATACAAGCCCTTTCACAGTTGGTGTGTGATCGACCCTACTAAATAGCACAAAACGAATACGAGGTTAGACAGGAACGCGTTGTATTTGAAGTTGAAACGCAATATAATTGGCTGAGAGATGAGTATAAAAATCGCTTCTACAGTGAAGTTGATATCTCGTTGAATCTGATCGGTTCTAGTAAAATGCGCGCCAACTTCGAGCGCCTATTTGGATGGCTGCGCCACATGCCGCACACTGCGCGACGCTCACCAAAATTTCGGCCAGTTTCTAACTACAGAGACAGTAGTAGAGAGGAGCCGGCCGAAAATTTTGGTGTGTTGCCAAACTGGTAAGTGCTCCACTGATGTATAGTTTCCGTTTCATCACGCTACGTCTTCTTCATCACTAGTGCTATCCACACGTTTGCGCTGCCTAAAACGCAGGCGCTTCTTTAGGTGGGGTGGAATAAGCGTGCCGTTCCCCCAGGTCGTGTGCCAGATTTGGCTGCACGTGGGAATGCTTCCCGTTTCCTCACGACGGACACGGTTGCAGAGCGGGACATAACCGTCAAAGACATCGCAACAGGCCCTACAGAAATAACTCGTCTCCGGTCATTTGGATTTTGAAAGTGCCAGCATGCACACATCTTGCAGCGATGCTGACGCCACTTGCCGAGGTAAAGCTGCTCATTGTTTTTCAGCACGTGCCCGTGTGTAGGCATCGGGACGGTCGCTAAATCATCGCTTTCATGTTGGTTTGAAAGGTGGCTGCCGTGACTCCAAGCAGTTACATCTGAAGCCGGCGCATGTACTCAGCATTAGTGGACACCGATTCGTTCTCTTTGCCATTACCAGCGTGTGGATTATGAACCCATTGACTATCGCCATGTCCACGAAAGCTGCTTGCAGTATTTTCTATAGACGGCACACTGCTGAAGGGGGTAGCTCTGGAGACGTAGCCGGTCATGTCAGTCGACCCCACCCATTCCCGAGTGGTAATCGACCACTAGCTGCGGACATCTTGCCTGCGTCACCACGTCGGTACGCTTGTCCTTCTTCGCTACGTTCATCACGGTAGTAGCACACCCGGTGGTAATCATGTCTACTGGCTTGCTGTTCATCCAGACAGCGGTTACTATCTTCAGATGCATCGTCAAGTGAGCAATTCGGTAAGTTCCGCGCGGCATCCAAGCTGGTCGTTTCTTTTGTGTAAAACGGAAATGTTTGGGTGCCCCCAAGCGGTCCTTGCGGTGTGTCTCGAGAAAGTAGTAGCCCATGTCCAACAGGGTCAGTGCCAATGCACACGAGCTGTAGAAAATGTCGACAACAATGAGTCGCTTGCCAGGCTGCCCGTCAAATGCCTTCGAGAGGTTGCGAATGGCAGCATTTTTGTGCCACTCCCTTTGCTTTTTGTCCGTATCGGCTCCCAGGTAGCTTCAGCACTGTAGCATACAGAATAACATACAGTAAAACATTGTCACTAGTAGGTTTCTTCTGTATAGTACAGAATACATGACTTCTTTGCTGTCAAAGGCATCCACATCAGTGGGACGGCCATTCTCACTTGCATTGACACTGGCATCCAGCTGTCGATCCTCCGGAATACACGCGATGTCGCTCCCTTGTTCTGAATGCTTCGGATTAGAGCCTTCACCTGATGAATGAATTCCTCATCAGAGGCAAGTGCCGCTGGACTTGAAACTGCTTCAGGAATACCCGCGCGGTCATCGTGAAAGATAAGGCAGGTTGGGTAGCGTCAACTTGAGTCGCTAAGGTTCCGACGGGCGGTTCGATTGCAGCAGCAGTGCGAGTCATAGGGGTTTCAGTGAGCACATGAGCGGACACAGTAGCACGTTGTTTTAGTGTGTGTGGGGGGGGCTCAAGTATTCCCTCACTCCGAGCAAACACCATGAACTCGTTTTCTCCTACGCCAAATCAAGTTATCTAGCGTATGAAGGACTTTAGATATCAATTGAGTGCTAACGTACCGACAAAGTGGTCAACGCGATGACGTGCTGCGTCTAAGCGGCCAGTGACCCCAGGCTTCATATAGGTAAAGTCTACACTTACCCCCTTCGGTTTCCTCGTCTTCCATCCCTTCTTGGAAAGCTCGCGCCGTAGCTGCTTGAATGTCTTCTCGTGCGGGCCGTTCATTGTGGGGAGAACGGATTGTGCGGAACGAGGGCAATGTGTGGTGGTTTGCGAATCAAAACGGCTCATCACAGAATTTCCAAACCTCCATGAATTTTATATTGTCATTTCTGTGATGACTGGGAAATCCCCGTCTATCTTCGCTGCGAAGATCTTCAATGATAAACGATCAATGCAAACGGATAGTATGCGGTGGATTAGGCTGATGGCAAGCTCGCTTGGTATATAATCCTGTCATCTAGCTTATTCTGTACGATACAGAATATCGTCTTAGAAGGGTAAACCGGAATTTGAACGTTTGCCACAATATGCACAAGCCCCGAGGAGATTTATTAATGATACTGTGATGTATAATCCTATACATCACAGTATAGTTACTAGTAATGTAACCCGGTTGTCCTAGATAATTTGGAAGGGCTATTTTGGAGCAATTAATTTGCTACCTATTTTGTGCTCACACCCATTTTTTTGGTCCTCGTACTCCTCGTCAAAACCCAGCTTTTCGATTTGCGCAGGTGGATGGTGATGGCTTTGTGGGTGATGGTGACGTTTTTGTCCGATTACATGCTGTTTCTGCCATTTGGGCTTCACAAATCGTTGTACAAATGTCAGTTTGGGTAAACCAGATATCTCTCAGAGCTTCAGCATCGAAGCATGCGTTGTTAGACGAATACTGTTCACAGGTAGGAGGGAGAAATGAAGAGTTCCCAGGCTCCGTCATGCGTCGTGTTTTGACTGCTACCCCAACTAGTGAGAGTAGGTAGAAGTACCTCTTTTGCTGTCGACGCGTTACGTTGCTGACGGCACTGGGTGGGTAGGATAAATGACAAGTTTTTTAATCCGATGACGTCATTAAGAGTATGGCGAATTTTATAGACGTGAGTATGTCCTCGGTCAAGCGGAACACGTAAGCTTAAGTTGATATACATTTTCGCTCCGTTGTCGGTGCTAAATTTTAAAACGCGCGAAGTGCATTGGTTGCGTTTTGAGGTTTGGCTGGTGACTCACGGCTATAGATTTGGTTCGCTAGCTTAAATTTTAAAAGTACAATAAAATACACGTTATGTATTTTATGTTCACATAGATTTTTTTCATATAGCTGCAGTGGCCTTTACTCCAGCAGCAGCAATTTTGCGTGGTCTACTAATTTCAGCTCTCTAACGCAAAGGCGTTGTGAGCAGGGCTATTCAATATCATACTGATTGGGCAGCGAAGTGTTGAGCAATCAATTACTGCATTATTTTCTTATTTCGCTGTTGCGAAAACGTATGCCAGGCATATACATCAATAACTCCATGTCGCTTCCATATCTCACCAAAGTGCAAACGTCGAAATCAAGGAAAACAGACTCGCTTATTTGACTTAGGAGGGGGGTTACCTTGAGAGCCTCCGCCGCGCACCACCTTTAGAACAAGTACCCACAACACCTCCTTAGTAGCACAGGTAAGTGAAATATTGTAGCGAGAATATTACATTATCAAATATGACAATACTTGACTCTGTAAACCAAATACTCCAACACGCATCACTCAGCAACACGCCGCTTCTTCCTTTTGTTCTCTACAGCTATTAGCGCAACTGCACTCGCATCCCATAAACCGCGCTTAAACTGCAGAAACAGTATACTCTCCGGGGTCATTGGATTAAACTGCGGTGGAGACGGGAAAACACGATGCCTGCACGCGAGAAGAGGGCTCGACATCGTTCGACGTTGGAGGGATCCACTTCAAATTGACAACAGATGTCATCTGTGCTTTCTTAGAGAGGACAGCCTTGGCAAAAGACCTTTTCTTTGAAAAACCATCAGAATCACCTACTGCTTCAGGTGGCGAACTAGATCCCCCAAGCTTCGCTACAGTAGCCCTCTCAGTTCGCGTGAGTGCTCGAACCTTCCCGCCAGCACCTTTATCACCCCATTCTCGAAGTCAGGATATTTCAGCAACCCAGACGTAGCCGAGAGGTGCGTACTCGTAGACGGGTAGTACTTCACCACGTGGGCGAAAGCGCTCGTACATCGAGCAAGGGCATTGTCGACGTCTCTAGTTTCTTGCGGGCGCTTTCTAAGTTCTTGAGGTCTTCATGAAGAGCTTTGAGGTGAACGCTTTCCGGGGCATTAATATGAAATTGGCCAACCCATCATTAAGGCGGCCATAGAAGCGAAAGTACCGACCGATCATGGCGAACGTACTGCGCTAGTGTGTTGCGTACCTTTAAACAGGTATGAGGGCGTCTATCGCACGAAGATGGTGTCGGTTTTTAATGGTATTCAGCTTTACCATCAGTAGCTGCACCTTGTCAAGAATGGGGTGAACCACTTGCTCAGACTGAGGCAAATGCAGAATGAATTCAAACGGTCGGGCCTTTTAGCTCCTACTGC